TGATCATCTTTATATACAGTCAGTGATCATCTTTATATACAGTCAGTGTCTTTATATACAGTCAGTGATCATCTTTATATACAGTCAGTGATCGTATCGTATGACAGACGATGCTTTTGACTCTGAATGAAAATGAAGGTTCATTATTTGGCAGGAAGTTGAAGTCCTGGTGGCAGAAGAGGAGGATGAGTCCAGTGCAGACGAAGGTGAAGGAGGATGGAGGAGAGGAGGCTCAGGGGGAACAGCACCAGCAGGGGGAGCTCTCTCCCTGGGAGGCCGACTACCGGCTCTTGGTGTGTGATGGTCTCCTCAGCGAGTACCTGGAGATGGGTGAGTCACAGGGCTGCTGGGAGATGTAGTGTTTTGTATCAACCTGTAACTCTTCGTCCTCCTCATCTTCCTCAGTGATTCAGTTTGGTTTCATTACCATCTTTGTGGCGGCATGTCCTCTCGCTCCTCTCTTCGCTCTTGTTAATAACTGGGTGGAGATTAGATTGGATGCTCAGAAGTTTGTGACTGAATATCGCCGCCCAGTGGTAGAGCGAGCTCAGGACATCGGCATCTGGTTACCCATCATGGAGTTCATCACACACACAGCTGTCCTCAGCAACGTAAGACTCTCATGCATTTCTATCTTCTATTTGGACAAGGTAGTCAACTAGATGAACACTGACGTCCTCAAACATTTATAAGCAGCCAATAGAATCTGACCTTTTAGGGGGGGGGGGTCTGGCTGAAGGGGTAGAGTGGCTGTCCTCTAACCAGAAGCTTGATGCCAGCCCGTCTGTGTGCTGAAGTGTCCTTCAGCAAGATACTGCTCCTTGAACTGTCCCTCATAGGAAAACGTACAGCCCATAGATGCACTGTATAAATGTGTATGTGACTGAAATAAATACAGATCTTTGACCTTTTCAGGCGTTCCTCATAGCGTTCACCTCGTCCTTCCTGCCTCGTCTTTACTATCGCTACACCAGAGACAGCACTCTGAGCGGCTTCATCAACTTCACACTGGCGACATCAGACAACTACACCCAGCAAGAACAGAACAGATCCTGCAGGTAGGCAACGTCACTGCAACAACACCAACACACATGTCACAGCTGGTCCATGGGTCCATGGGACACACCGGCCGTGGTAACGGCTGTGCTGCGGTTCTGTTGCGTGTCATGGTTGTCTGTTGTCCACACTGACAGCGTGTCTCCTGTGGTTCTGTAGCGGAGCTGCTACAGCCAGTGCTATGTTTATACATAGAGTTTGCATTGAAATGGCCATAAAGAGTACTGTATAAAGTACACCTATATACTCAAATAAATACCAGTACATTACAGTGTGAAGCCGTTCATCTTCCGCTCCAGCAAATATTTCACAACAATAAACCTTTTTTAAACAAATTAATGGATTCAGTCAACAGACACGCTGGAATGTTCTTTTATTTTGAAATGGGTAGGCTCCTGGAAGTGTGTTCAACATGTTCAACAGATAAACATTGAATCTTTGTAAAAAGATTATTTTCACTGAGCGCAGTTCACAAAATAAATCTATAAAAAGTGCAGCACTGCTGCGCGCAGGCAGTGTGGCGACGTGTATTTTGAGTTTTATTTCATCATAAGACAATAATGATGTGAAGTGTTGTTGCTGTTGTTTTTCTCTGCAGGTATCAGGGTTTCAGGGATGCAAATGGTCAATACCTGCCACATTTCTTTCACCTCCTCTCGATACAACTGGCTTTCGTTATCATCTTTGAGGTTAGTGTCAGTGTCTCCTGCACATCAGGTTAATTTAATACGTTTGAAGAGTGTGTAGGGTTGAGATTCTCTTGTCTATGGAAGATTTTATAGAGCTGAGGCCCGACACTTAAAAGTTTGCTCTGCAGATGTTTTGATGTCATTGTTCGCCACCATTCTCTCGTTCTAATACTGAGAAGGATCCAACGTCTGAGCCTTTATTAGCTGCTTTTGAAGAGTCCCCTGAATTGGTGCAGCTTAGTTCTACAACTGTGACACAATCATTCCTCAGATGAAGACGTGATCTGGTTCACCCTGTTCACCTGCTTCAACTGTGGTGTAGCTGAGTTGTCAACAAGTGAAGAAAGCTGTAGTTTTGGGTCCTGGTGAGTGAATGGATCATGACTTTTCCTGTATCTCTCTTCCTAAGCATGTAGTCTTCTTCATTGGTCGTCTGATCGACATGATGGTCCCTGACATCCCTGAGGAGGTGGAGATGAAGATTAAGAGGGAGTACTACATGGCTAAAGGGGCACTGGCTGAGAACCGGGTACAGTGAAACTCTTTTATGTTGGTCTAGTTTGGTATCACCTCAGTTGTAGTTCTAGTTTGTCACAATGCATTTTAGTACACACGCTCTCTGTGGAGGTTTAGTTAATTCTGTGCTTCCAGACTGTGAGGGACCCGCTGTTACCTGGTGAACAAGACCCTCTGCCCCACAACCTGAGACAGCGTGGATCTAGACCCTCACAACCAATACAGAACGAGTTGAGGCCACCAAACTTGAAGATCCCAGAGGAAACTGACTTATGAAGCAGCTGCTAATGTGAAGCAGTGGACCCTCCCCATTACTTCACTGTCCACTTTGAAATAACTTCTCCTTCTGATCGAACTTCCTGACAAAACCTCTGTGAAACTTCCACAAGTTCCACAAGATCCGTGCTCAATCCTCGAAGGTCCTTCAAGAACTTTGCAGGACCTACAAGCTAGAGAAGATGTTGAGCTACAAGACCATTGTTGGATCTACAACAACAAAAACACCTCTGCTAGAGTTATCAGACCTCTGCTCGACTTGAATAAAACCAACAAGATTTCTAATTGTCTAAAAGAGCCACATGTGTTGTAATGAACCTCTACATATCCTACGAGAGAAAGGTCCAATAGGACTTAAATGTACTTGACAGCTGCACTAGAGTTGCAAGATCTCGGCTAAACTTGAAGGAGATCTCCATATCACATCTGCTTGATATCTACAAGAACTACAAGAGGATCAGTCCATGTCCTTCAAGAACTCCCTAAGAGGCTGACAAGACCCATGAGATATTTCCAAGTTCTCTGCAAGACCTTCAACACATTTGTTAGTGAGTCACACAATCTAAGAGTCTTCTGTCTGCACAAGTTCTACAGGATCTCTTATAGATTACTACAAGAACTACAGGAGTGGTGTTCTGTTATCATCCCAACACCTAGACCTTTACGAGAATTAAAAGACTTCTAGTAGGCATAGATGTACAACAGCACAGCAAGAGATCTATAGACCAACAAGATATAAGAAAGATCTTACAAGAGCAACAGATGTGTTCAAGAATGGCAAATTGCTCTAGAGCATCAGTAGCCCTGGACAACAGCCCTACGAGATCTACATGAACTTTGCCAGACCTCTGAGGTCTCCAGTATCACTTATCCTACAAGAGCTCTGCAGGAATTCTTTTACATCATTTCAAGGTCCTCCAGCAAAAACTCTGGCCCCTCAGAGAATATCCCCCTGATATATGGCTGACAAGTGCATTTAAAACCTTCCCTTTCCTTTTGAAAACTTGGGTTCCTCTTGTTTTATTGTTCCGGATCTCACTTCTTTGTTGTGTCAGACAATGATTCTGTGTCATGGCTACAAAAGTGAATCTTTTTATCAATAAAGCATTGTTTTGCTCTTTTGTTACCCAGAACATATTATTAGAGAACGTTGACTGTAGTGTGTGACGTAGTTATTGAGGATATCTGTAGCTATTGATTCTTATTATCTATTGTGTCGACTTGATGATCCTGCTGATATGAAAGACTTGGATCACATCATACGCCACGTTCCTCTCTGTGGAAAATTTAACCAAACTGTAGTCCGGCTATAACTTATCTATAAAATCTTCTACTGCTATCTCCTCTGACTGTTTTTTATGTCTTGCCTAGTTCCAATGCTGTTTTACTATAACTTTATATTCGACAGTATTCTGCCATTGTTATTTAGTGTTTTCTTTCTTTTTGAAATGCCTTTGTCTTTTCTCAGCAAGTACTGAATAAAATGTGTCATGTTATTCATAATTTATCATCTGAACCACTTTTTATACTTTTTTTATTCTACACCAACAACACTGTCGCTTAAAATGTTGCCAAAAGATGAATTTAGACTAAACCTTAGAGAACTCAATGTTGTGCTTTTAGATGATTTATGCAAAACATATTGTAACAGAAAATATATTTTACCGCAAACGTCCATGAAGGTGCAACATGAGCCAGAGCAGCTGGAGATAATGGACCAATGGATTACATTTCACTAAATGCTATGTATTCAAACGTATGGGATTAAATGACACTAACTTTGGTTTATTCTCATAACTTCTCATTTATAAAACATTTGAAAGAGGTGAACATCAGAAACGTATGACTTTTCCCGGTCAGGCGGTCTGCGGACACCTAAACCCGCTCCGTGTGTGACGTGTAGGACCTCCTCCTCCGACACACAGCAGCAGTAATGGCGGACTACGACGGCTACGATGACCGGGACCGGGCCTACGGCAGCTTCGGCGGCGGCAGAGGGTGAGTGTCCGCTCCGCTCGGCAGCTCCGCCGTGTGACTCAAACACAAACCCCGGCGGGACCATGTTTCCCTCTGCTGTCCGCCCCGAGCCCCGGAGCAGCGCGCCCAGGCCGCGAAGCTCGTCCCGCCCGGCGCCTGCTGACTGAAACGGGCCCGCGAGAGGGAGGGCGGCGGGGAGCGGCTGGGAAACACCGTGGTCCCGCAGCTAACATGCTAACTGCTAGCATGGGGCTAACTGCGCACAGACAGTTAAACTGGCGGACTGTTCCGGTGGGGATCGCCCCGGAGCTCGGCGGTAAAAACATGGTAATCTGTTCGGTGTTGAGATAAATGAACCGGTCCCGGGGAGAGGCGGGACGGAGCCGGACGGGAGGCCGCGGTGTGTGGAGCTGGTGGCGGAGCCGCAGCTGCGGACTGCCCGCATGGCTCCATCATGTGTCCGCAGCTGCACATTGATCCACGTAGGGAGCAAACACGCGGGATCGATCCGCACCAACGGTCGATGTGCGGTGGTTGTAGGTGAAGCAGGTTGTTGTGTAGCTGCTCCATCGTCGCGGTGAAGATGAATGAAAGCAGGAAAATCCCATGTGTTTGTCGGAGAATCTGCTGCATCCGGAGCTTCACGTTGTTTCTGTCTTCAGCCTCCGAACGGATCTGATGCTACACGAGCCTCAGTGTCGGACATCCTTCACCGGCTCCAGGCTCAAATCATCCGAACAGTGCACACGGTCGAATAGTGTTCGGTACTTTGTGTTGCAAAGTTTGAAAGTGTTTTCTGTGTAGAACTTTGTCACCACGTTTAAACCTTACACGTTCACATAGCAACGTGTCTCTACAGGACACTAACATGTTCAGTTCAGTGCATTAACACACAATCCGTCACTGACTCGACTGATCTGGTTTTTGTGCTAAAAGTCGTTTTCACTGTAAAACCCAGAAGTGTTCAGTCTGGAGGTTTTACAGGTGACTGCTTTTTACCAATCTTCCCTGAAGAGAGTGGTCAGGGTGAGGGCGGGACGGTTTCATTCATTAACACTACACCTGGTGTTCTATAGGTTGGACAGACTTGTGGCACACAAAAAATCAAAGAGCCAACATTTCACGTGCACAGCGTGAACACAAGCAGACCTGAAGCGAAGGAAATCTGTACAAGCAACAGAATACCTGAGTACAAACGCACAGTTTGAGCTCGGATCCAAGCAGAAGCAGGGTCTGATAGAGTGCAAGTGCAGGGTTTAGACTCTCAAACTGACCCTGCTCTCACTCTAAACTTTAGAGTGAAGCATTAGATAAACTGAAGGTGAAATCAATAAGACCACACTCCACGCCATAAAAGACATGAATGTGAGACGTGTGTCAAATGTCTGCACCGTCACAACCAGGAATAAGTGAGTGTGGTAACGTACACATGTGGCTGGCTGCTGTTATCGGTCAAACTCCTAACAGACAATATTAATGATGACGATTGAATGGACACTAACGTTAGCTTGGCTCCTCTGGTAGGTAGCCTGTGTTCATTACTGTCCAGTGTGGTGTATCACAACTCGTGGTCGTGAGGTGAATGTAAAGGAAAAGTCGTGATCGAAAACTAGTTTAATGTTCAAGTCAATGAAGCTTTACTGGCAGACATGAGAACAAACAGACGAATAATAT